GTGCCGTCAGAGAGCCGGACAGACCTTAGTGGCCAGCCGGCGCCGTCTATCAGCCAACGGAGGACTCCAATCGCGCAAGTGGGGGAGGCGAAGCAGCCCCTGAATGATGGGAGATGGCCTGGGCATCTGCTGGGCCGCCTGGGCGTCAAGACTGCTCTTCCAGTTGGAAGGATTGCGCAGACACGTCTAGTCCAGAAGCATTGTTAGTAAGTGGAGGGGAGCCTTTATGGGGAATAGACTCAAGCTAGGAAAAAGTCAACAGCATCGGTAGCTAGGTACACAGGCAAACGTCTGGGACGCAAAAAAGTATACTCTTCTTGTGCACCTGTTCTCCAACCCGCTGTCGTTCGTTTCTTCTGTCCGTGGTATCGCTGTCGTCGTCTTGTCGAGGCGCAGTGACCGGATTGCTTGCTTGCTTTCACTTTCCCACGAGAGCCGGACCATTCTCTCTCATTCTTTTCATCTCGTCTCGCCAGCCCCTGGCCGGAGAACAGAACAGCTGATCTTGAGTCATCGCTCGGTCGATTAGACAATCGCTCGCTGGACTTGTGAATGTCACTGACTGACTGACTGACTGATTGAAGACCGTTCACTGGCTCGATATCAGGAAACCGGACGGTTGTTGGCTGTTGCGTGTCAGAATTGCCTGTTGCGCGCGACTTTTCGACTCGTCAGAGCGTGACGACGACCAGTCGTAGCATCATTCATTCGTTGCCATAGCCATCGACATAGCTATAGCCACAACCACAGCTACAGCTACAGCCACCTGTCAACCCACGTGTGAGTCCATCCCCCGCGCAGAAATCGAGAGACAGGACGTTTCATGTTGCAGTCGAGTGGACGAGGAGAACTGATAGTAGAAGCAGAAAGACCAAACCAGCAAACGCTCTGTTTCAGGCTGCCCCTCCTCCCGCTGCCCGATTAGGAAGCCGCCGCCATGGCCACCCCCAGACCGCGCACGCCTGGCAAGAGCCAGCCGCCGCCGCTGCCCACAGACGCTCTTCCTGCAATCACCGAGAACGGCAACCGCGCCAGTCTCAACGCCATCAGCACAAACAACAACAACAACAACAACAACAACAACAACTCCAACTTGGACGCGACCTCGCGCCGCTCGTCCCTGGGCTTCTTGCGCCGCTCCAAATCCACTGAACCGCTCTCGGAGCGCAAGGGCAGTGGCAGCAGCAAAATCTCCAAGAGGATGAAGGAACAGATGAAGGAGGAGGAGCTGCGGCGCCAGCGCGAGTCCATCCCCCAGCAGGCTCCTCGTCTGCCCGATCTCGCGCCAACCCCAAGAATGCAGACATTCGGAGGCGAAGAGCGTCCTGCCAGTCTCGCGGTGCCCATCAGTGCTACTGAAAGCCGTGCCAGCTCGTCGCACCACAGCTTGCCCGCCTCTGGATTCGCCCCGGCAGTTGTCGATCCGTACGCCAGGACTGAGAGCATGACCCATCGTGGCCGTTATAGCTACGCCAGCAGCGCAGTCAGCACCATCAACAGCCCTCGCAGATTGCGCCGGCGCAAAGACCCCACCCCCTACAAGTGAGTCACCTTGTACTATATACTTCTCACAATTTTGCCATTGACTAATCTGCGGTCAACAGTCTCCTTGTTGTTGGCGCCAAGAATAGTGGAAAGACTTCTTTCCTCAATTTCTTGCGCAAGTCTCTTGCCCTGCCTCCTAACAAGCACCCAATCCGCTCACAGGAAGAAATCTTGGAGGAGATCAATTCCTCGTCCAACCCCAACTTCAAGTCTCACTATCTGGAGACGGAGATCGAAGGCGAGCGAGTCGGCCTTACTCTTTGGGACTCGGAAGGATTGGAAAAGAATGTGGCTGATCTACAATTGAGAGAGATCACTGCATTCTTGGAGAGTAAATTCGAGGACACCTTGGCCGAGGAAATGAAAGTGATTCGCTCTCCTGGCGCTCGCGATACCCATATTCACTGCGTCTTTTTGATTCTCGACCCGGTCCGTTTGGATGCCAATCTGGCGGCGGCCGACAAGGCGGCCGAGAAGGCCAATGGTAATTTCTCGGTCTCTCACGCGACCAGTATCCTGGATGAGGACCTGGATCTGCAGGTTCTTCGCGTCATGCAGGGCAAGACTGCTGTGGTACCAGTTATCAGCAAAGCCGACACCATAACCACCGCTCACATGGCGTACTTGAAGAAAGCGGTATGGGAAGGCTTGAAGCAAGCCAGGATTGATCCATTGGAGGTGCTCATTCTCGAAGAAACGGAGGACGACGAATCAGAGCCGTCTTTGGCTGAAAAGGACGAGGATGAGGCTGCTGAGCACTCAGAGGATGGTGAAGCTGAGGCCGAGGCTGTTACTGATGCTGAGCCGGCCGAGGGGCCAGTCACGACCCCTCTTCCTCGATCTCCTCCTCGTCCCCAGCACCGGGCAAACAACTCAATCTCGATTACTTCAACCGCTGAAGTGCCCTTTATTCCTCTTTCCATTTTATCGCCTGATCCTCACTCCCTCGACTCGCCAGACCTGCCTGTTGGGCGCCATTTCCCGTGGGGTTTTGCTGATCCCTATAACCCCGAGCATTGCGACTTTGTGAAGTTGAAAGAGTCGGTCTTCAAGGAATGGCGCGCCGAACTTCGGGAGACCAGTCGTGAGCTGTGCTACGAGCGTTGGCGGACTAGCCGTCTGAACATCAACAACGGCCTCCCTAAGAAACCATCCAACAACACTGGACGCTTTGGACCGCCACCGACGTCGAGCGGCCGCATAACACGATGAATGGTGAGCGCGACTCAACTGCTATGATGGGTGTAATGATCCCTCTACCTCTGGAGGACTGTTTCAAGACATCTGTCCGGGTCTTGTCGATTTTTTTCTTTTTTCCGCTGTGGAGCCAGCATCTTGCTTCGTTTTCATTCTCTTAAATCGTCTCTAAGTCTTTTGTTTATTTCTTATCTCTCTTCCCCGGAGTTGAATGGCCGCTTGATCGTCTATTGTTACCATGTATCTGTGCTTTGACTCTTTTGTCGATTCAACAAATGAGCCTGCCTTCTATCTTCGTATATCCGTGATACTCTATGACACCGGTTACACCTTGCCGGGGAAACATGCATCTCTGGTTCTTGACTCTACGCCTCGGTATGAATTGCCGCCGCGCAGATCGGCACCCTCAAAGCCAAAGAACACAGCGGTTGTATTATTAGCATTATTCCCCGATTCTATTTTTCCCCCGTGCCCTACCTGATTCCCAATATGTTCTGTTCTTTTGTGTCTTACTCTGCGGCTAGTCTGCATATTTCATTGTATCAAAAAGCGCCTGACCTGTCAAATGTCTCGATTGCCAGTGCCCAAATAAGCTTGTCTTTAGTGATTTCAATTTGTCGTTTTTTCTTCTTGGTTGATCTGCGCAGTAAGATTTGAATAAGCCAGACCTATTATTATTAGGGGTAAACGGTTCGCTGGTCGATTATAACGTACTGGCATCGTTCCAGTAAAACCTGTTATATGCCATAGAGACCTACCCGTCGATCCTGGGGTCGTGAAGATATTCTGCATGGAACTATTGACAAATGTGATCTCCATTTGTACGTCAATCACGACTCTATATGTATTACTGCTTGATGTGCACTAAAAACGAAATGACATGGCCAGTATCAATGACTAGAGCACTCATCTCAGACAGGTTCGAGTATGAATTATTCACTAGCACAGTTCAAAAATATTGCAATATATTCATAGTCTATCTGTTAGTGAGTTAAGATACGGCCTAAGAAAGACATGTCAAGGTATTCTCTCTCGAATCGATGCGGGAGAATACGAGGCAAGTATTCTGACCAGTCAGACATTGGGTTTCAGTTTTTTTTTAAGCTTGTATGTATTCCCAGTGCTCAGGGTACCAGCTGGCATAATCCCAATCAATGATACTCGTGACCCGGCCTCCATCGACAAGAATATTCCGTGGGGTAAAGTCGGAATGGGTAAAAACAATGTCGTGGTTGTCCATAAACACAAATTTGGCATAATGCCGCAGTATATCCGGCGCTGCCTTGACAATATCTCCCAGGATAAACTCGTTGACTTCTTGCTCAGAGTCAAATTTGTCGCCTTCAATTGATGCGATCCGCCCAATTATAGCCTTGCCGCGCTCAACGGCGCCGATATGATCACCTTTTAAGTTGCGAAGTTGGCCTATATAAGAATGAAGCTCGTCGGCAATGGAAGGCTTCTACGTAGTGTCTAACGTGTCCCATGCTTCATCAAGCCACCTACCAGGTATGTAGTTCATCACAATAGCCACGACCTGACCGTCTTCGGGGCATATATCATAAACTTTGGGCACAGGGATAGTTGTATTTTCTGCAATGAAACGATGTGTTTGGGCTTCGTGGGAACGGAGGCGGTCTGATTTTATGAGATTGTTGTCAACACGGACGACGGTGCGGCCGAATAATGAGTGAAGAACTGTTCCCTCTTGCGTTGCCTCTTGATTCTTCGATGTACTCATTTTGTAAGATGGAGGTTCGTTTTTTGTGAAGAGTGATTCCTTGCTGCCTGGTCTGTAAGACAGCAAACAAACAAGCGGGCGGTCAAACTTGACTTCTTCTCTTCATCTTACACTTCTGTCTATCTTTTGGAAAGTAACAGGATGTTTAAACTGATAAGATATAGTGATTAAACTATAAATAAACGCCAAGTAGAAAGTGATCTTGAAGGATATGTAACCGTTTCAAGCTTGGTGCTTCCCTAGCACATATATGGCATTCGAATACCAATCAATTACTTGATAACATTCAATGCTGAAAGAAATTCAAACTACGTACGCGATAGAAATGGCGTTGATGGCTACACCAATTCAAATCATAAGACTGAGTAAATATAACTTATAAGTTCTTCTAGTAGTTGTCATCGAAGGCCATTTACTAAAAACCCTTAATACATGCTCACATGTCCAACATGAAAACATTCTTACTGTATGGATATATTTTGATAAATCAATTAAGCGAAATTATTTCTATGTTTCTGGCCGATTGGAGTAGTTGGTTATCTCGTATCGTTTACATTGCATTGCGCAATATCCCGATAAGGTCGTCGGATCGAGCCCGGCATCGGTCAATAATTTTTGCCACTTAAAAAATTAAACTATATATTCAAAATATTTTTGCTTTTGCTTCTTTTTAACAAACTTTGCTATAAATAACAGTACTGAGGTAATATATACCGTATGTAAGGGCGGCGATTATCTATGCTTCTGTCAATACCTATATGGCCAATATTCATCTCCCATTCCTTTAAAGCGGCCGTTTCGAGGTCGAGACCAATCCAGAAAAGATGGGAACCGGCTCTGGCAACCTGCCATTAAGGAAATCCAGCAATGAAACAATTCTCAGATATCTCTATTACCTCGTACTACTTGTTCACTGTCTTGACTCAGTCCGTCAGACTGTCTGATAAGCTGGCTCGGCTCTTGCGACTTGCAGAAGTGTTCAATATCTTTGCTGGACCTTTCTTAGTGTCTTGCAGATTGGTCGATGGGGCGTCACAAGATGCTAAGTTCTCGTGCCGTAGGTAGTGTTTTTGTTATATCATCATTACTGTTTTGCCGAGATATAATGAGATGCCTGGTTATTCGCACTGAGATAGGGTGGTGTCGGCCGCAGTTGCTTTCTTTCTTTCTCTTTTTTTCTAATATATCTCTTTTGACATTGGCATTCAGGGAGTGCCATGGTGTACGTCCTTTCAAATGTATATTACCCAACGCGTGCCCGGATAGGCATCTGGTAATTGAGAAGGAGGATATCTTGAACGATGTTGTTACCAAGGCGGAGGCTTTCCATGAGTAGGAGAAGGAGCGCCAGCCTACTCACTTCGATGAGGCGCCTGAGTGATCTTTGTATAGATTCAATGCTGGATCGCGGCTCGTTTTATTATGGATTGGAACTACTCCAGAGAAGGCAAAAGATAGACATTGAATGTGATGGCCAGAGTTGATTGACAGATCAGTTTTATCAATAGGTGTGAATTTCCTTCACTTACTCAAACTTACACATAGGCATAATAACCAAGAAATCTGAATTACTTTTCTGTATACTTCTTCAAGGCCCACATATTCTTACCTGCCGCCTAACATCAATATTGACACAATCTTTCCATACAAGGAATAACCCTAACCCAGAAAATCCTTTTCCTACTGCGGCCATGTCCCCAGGGCTCTCAACATGACCACACGCGAAATTTTCGATATTAAACATGAGAAAGACACAATATAAAACATAAAACGATATTGTAACTGCGTAGTTTTGTTACAACTTACCAATGCCGGGTGGTCTCGTGCAGCGGCCAATAGATGGTAGAACAGCCTCGGACGGCTGGACGATCTATACTTCGACAAGGAGACATTTCTGTGTCATACAAAGTATAAATAATTTAATTGACTCGAAATAGTTTATTCTTTTATGAGTTGTTATTTTTTTAGTGCCTCGAGGCTATGCTCTGTCCTTGTTGCATAGCACTGCCGCAATAAGTTGAGCTATTGAGGGCGTTCCAATGGTCCCATGCTCATCAACCACCGGCTGTTAAGATACAGCCTTGTCTTCAAATGTCAGCTTATCAATGAAGCCTTGAGCTGACCATGATCCTTGTCGATCGGCTTATATACCCTGCGTTTTTTCCTTTTTTCCTTTTCTTAAACCTTTGGCTGTTAGCACATAGCCCTGTGAAATGTTTTAAGTTCAATTACTCAGATGACGTCAGTCGGCATATTTTGAACAACAACATTTGAAGCCGGACCGGAGAATTGAGGGATTGCCGTCCAATCACTACGTATAGTAATCTATTGGAAGTAGAGTACATATATAATGTTGCAAAATGCGAACAGTTGTCTACTAAACCACCTGCCAGTTGCAGAAATTTGATACATATAACCTTATATTTCTTGATACTGTACGCTGCAAACTAAATTACAATTTATACAAAAATTGAATAAAAATAGTAACCGAGGCCCGACCGCCTGCGGCTCTGCTTGGCCCCCAGTCCCAGCCACTTTGATCTACACCAACGAAAATGAAGTTAATCTGTTGGTTTCTTTATTTTTGTTTTTCTCTCGTAACCAACATATTATTAGCGTTGCTGCCAATATTATATATTATTAAACAATAGTAATGATGTCCTCTGATAATAACAATCCGTACAAGAAACGGTTTAGGGTGGCCGGGGATTATTAAGGTTTCGGAATAGGCAGGTCGCACAGCAGCGGGGAGTTTCCATTGGCTGCAGCTCGGGCGGTTCCTGAAGAAGGCGAGCCACCTTCCTGGTCGGGCATATCCGGTGGAGCCTACGGCTGCTCCTTCCTCCGTGTCCTTTGTTGTTTTGGAAATATCTCTCTTTCTTTGTCTCTTTCTTTCCCTCCTTCTTACTTTGCTGTCACAATGAAGCCATGGATCCAGCTCAGATACTTTTCTTACCAGACGAAAACTGTTCATAACTAGTTCTAAATTCCAACAGGAGAGCGCTTATCAGGGGTACCTCGTACTACTAGGCAACCTGAATCCGCTACAACCCCGCGATGTTACGCCAAGCCAACACAATCCCTAGCTCATTGGTGCACGCCTGGAGCTTGCGAACCAAGCTGCTTTAGCTGCGGAGGGCTGTGAGGATCACGCGATTATAGGGCGTTCTTATCTTACGCCCGCCGTTGAGTTTGGAGGAAATTTGTGGAGCGGCGCAAAGTTCAAACACGATCCTATGTGCCGATGGGACGCACCAGACGATTCTCGTGCCGACATGCTATTAGTACGTCTATTATATAGGGAGTAGGATCGCCTCGTCGCTACCTGCTTTTCTTCTGACAGTACGTGTGACGTGTGTGTTTACGACCTGTCTAACAACATGCACTCTGTTCTGTCGCTCGCAGCCGTCTGCGCCTCCTGGGCCTCGGTTGCTACTGCTGCTTTGCATCAGATTCCCCTGGCTCCAGCTGCTGCGCTCGTCGATGGTGCTTCTTCGGGCAGCGGCACTTTCGAGCAGTTGATTGACCATGATAACCCCGAACTGGGAACCTTTTCTCAGCGATACTGGTGGAGCGACGAGTACTGGAAGGGACCCGGATCCCCGGTGCGTGGTTTTTTTTCTTTCTTGTTAGGATATCGGCTAATTTCGTTTTGTAGATCATCCTCTTCCAGCCTGGCGAGAGCGATGCCGATGGGTTCCAGGGATACCTCAAGAACACTACTCTTACGGGTCTCTATGCGCAGGAGTTTGGTGGTGCTGGCTTGATTCTCGAGCGTGAGTAATTGCTTTTCCTTGAACAAGGGAACCTAGCCTAACTAATGTTTAGACCGTTACTATGGCAAATCCTCTCCCGTGGACGAATTGACCCCCAAGACCATGCAACACCTTACCTTTAAGAACGCGCTGGCCGACACCGTTCACTTTGCAAAGAATGTCAAGCTCCCTTTTGACAACTCGACCAAGAGCTCCCCGGACAATGCTGTACATATTTCCCTCGTATACTGAGTGAATGCGCATACTGACGAGGATAGGCTTGGATTCTGGTTGGTGGTTCATACAGCGGTGCACAGGCTGGGTGGACTGCAGCAACCCTGCCTGGTACCTTCTGGGCTTACCACGCCTCGAGCGCGCCCGTCGAAGCAATCTGGAACTACGTATGTGAATTGGGCTCTTTTTGGTTGGAGATGCTGACTTTGGCAGTGGCAATACTTTGTCCCTATCCGCGAGCGTCTTCCTCACAACTGCACCACTGACCTGTCCAACGTGATCAATCACATTGACAGGATCCTGACAGGATCGGACGAGAAGGCCAAGCAGACTTTGAAAGATAAGTTCCAGCTCGGAGACCTGCGTGACGACGATTTTGCCGCGTATGTTGAATTATTGAAATTCATTGAAATGTGTTCTGTTGTCTAACGCTTTTTCAGCGCTCTTGCCAATGGACCTTACCTTGGGCAGACCACCTCGGCGTCAGAATCGTACGGCTTGTACGATTTCTGCAACTACATTGAGGTGAGACGAAGAAACATTCCTGGAAAGTTTTCCCTAGCTGACCGTTCAGAACGTGTATGCGGAACCCCCGGCCAACCCTGGTGCCGGTGGTGTCGGTGTGGCCAAGGCCCTTGAAGGATACGCCCAATGGTGGGGCACTATTTTCCCTGGATGTGAGTGTTTGGTGTTGTCAGTCTGATAGTTATTGACCAACATTGAACAGATTGCGCACAGTACGCATACTGGAGCTCAAACACCTCAACCGAATGCTTCGATACGTACAACTCGACCAATCCACTTTATGCCGACACCAGCATCGATAACTATGCCAACAAGCAGTGGACCTGGTTGTGCTGCAACGAGCCGTTTGGTGCTTGGCAGGAGTATGTCTTTCCCTTTCCCCAGGGTAGAAAATAAACTAATTGAATAGTGGTGCACCTAACGGAACCAAATCGATCGTCTCTCGGCTCATTACTGACGACTACTACCTGCGCACTTGCGGCACGTACTTCCAGCCCGACGATGGATACACTTATGCCAGTGCCCAGGGCAAGCGCTCGAGCGCCGTGAACGCCTGGACTCAGGGCTGGAAGGGCACTACTGAGCGAGTGATCTGGGCTCAGGGGTGAGTTATTTTTATTCTTTCCAAATGCACGCAGGCAAGACTAACATGAACAGACAATACGACCCATGGCGCGAGGAGACCGTCTCGTCCGACTTCCGCCCCGGCGGCCCGCTGGATTCGTCCGAGGAGAACCCGATCTTCATCATGAAGGACGCCAGCCACTGCTACGACTTGATCCTTAAAAACGGCGAGGAGAACGAGAGCGTGCAGGAGGTGATCAACGCTGAGGTCAAGCAGATGAAGGCCTGGGTCGCCGAGTTCAAGCCCAAGAACAATGGAACTTCCGCCCTGCGCCGCAAGGTGCGTCACTACTAAGTTTTGTGTAGACTTGAAAATGTAGATATTTGAAATGGTTAGACATTTAATTACATACAGTCATTTACATACGTACCATCCGTTCAGTAATTTGTCCTTCTAAATCACCCCTCCAAATTCCTCTTATCCAACGCCTGCAACATCTCCAAATCAAGCGGCACTCTCTCCCCCATCC